ACGTCATGCGGCCATTAGCCAGATAAGAATTAAGACTTGATTTTAAAAGCTCATTAAAACTGCTTGACTACTCCAGCAACTGTAATTCTTCTGCTGAAGAATTTCCACTTCACTTTGAATATTTTTTCTAAAATAGGACAAAAACTATGACAGAACACAGGTTCAATCATGAAAATAAAGAGACAATTCATTGCAAATTGAAATTGAGTAAAAACTTAAAGAACAGCTAAATATAATCAAGCTTGTTCTAAAATCTGCTCCAATGGAGTCAAAGGAAATTCAAACCGCTCAGAGATTTTTACAGCAACTGCAACATGAAAACACAACAAGAATTTATTGTGGATTGGATCAGCTACTGTATATCCATCCATCCATTATTTTTACCCGCTTCTTCCTTTTCGGATCATGGGGGTCACTTGTGCCCATGTTTTGCATTCACTGTGAGAGGAGGGGGACACACTGGACAGGTCTTCAGTCCATCACAGGGACACATAAAGACAAACAAGACAAACAACCATTCACTCTCTCACTCACACCTAGAGACAATTTAGTTACCAATCAGACTAACATGCATGTTTTTGGTTTGTGGGAGGAAACTGGAGTACCTGGAGAAAACCCATGCATGCACGGAGAGAACATGCAAACTCCACCCAGAAAGGCCCCCAGTTGGGATTTGAACCGAGGTGACCTATACTCTACCAACTGAGCCACCGTGCTGCCCTGGATCAGTTACATCTCCCATATGTTTGATCTGTTATCATGAGCTAAAAAGAGACTCAACAAAGAACTCTTATTGGAGATGTTCGTGCACTCTAGTGTCCATCTTAAGCCTGCCTCTCACACTGCACTGCAGAGACAAGTGTCCAGTTTGTGTGTGGATCTGTGGACGTGTCCTCCAGCCAAGACAGCGAGTGAAGCTTAGGATCTGTTGCAAAACATCCTGAATAAGTAGATTATGAGATACCATTTGGCCAACTGGCTAAAGAAGCAGTGAACTTTGGCACCAGTCAGGATCCTAACAAGTATCTAACATGGGTTTTAGCTTCAGATGATGCCCAAGCTGCTGTAAGCATGAACTCCATGAAGGACCTGCACAGAGGGTGAGAGCATGATGTCACCAGCATCCTTCTCTACAACTGTCAGCTGTTTGCTTACAGCTAACAGACTGTTGGACTGCAGCAGCCTCACTCAGCCCATATGTAGGCTTGTTTATACGAGCATTCACGCATAATACTGGATCTGGATCATGTTGTTCACATGTTTCATATGTTGAGGATGACTCTCAGCTACTGCCGCACCCAGTGTTAGCTCAATAACAGTAACAGACTTAGAGCCCTTTTTTGTGTTTTCTGAAGTTAATTAGCTGTGACAGCCATCTTGAATCAGTTTGACTACAAAAGTTGATTAATAAAATTTGTTAAATGGTTCATAAGATGGGTGGCACAGTGGCTCAGTGGGTAAAGCTATTGCTGTTGCAGGTCGCTGCATTGAATCCCAGCCAGGGGCCTTTCTGGGTGGAGTTTGCATGTTCTCTCCGTGCATGCGTGGGTTTTCTCCGGTTACTCCAGTTTTCTCCCACAGACCAAAAACATCCATGTTAGACTGATTGGTAACTCTAAATTGTCTCTAGGTGTGAGTGAGAGAGTGAATGTTTGTTTGGCTCTATGTGTCCCTGTGATGGACTGGACACATGTCCAGGTTGTACCTGTGATGGACTGGCGACCTGTTCAGGTGTCCCCTACCTCTCACACAGTAATGGCTGGACATGGACATCAGTGACCCTTAGCAACCCAAAAAAAGAAGAAGGGGGTAAAGATGGATGGGTGGATGGTTGGTTCACATAATATTTTGCTAACAGACAGACAAACTACACACAAACAGACACAACAAGACCCATCATTGCCTGATGCTCTCAACAGGTTCTATGCACGCTTTGAAGACCCGAACAGACCAACCAGCACCAGATTCACCTCACCACCAGAAGAGGAGTTCCTCAGCGTGACTTCAGCTGAAGTGAGGAGTACTTTCAAAAGGAGTAATCCTCACAAGGCAACCGGTCCAAAAACATCCCCGGGAATGTGCTGAGAGACTGTGCCGATCAGCTTTGAGAGGTGCTGGCCAACATTTTTAACTTCTCTCTCACCCTGGCAACATTTCCCACCTGCCTGAAGACTGCCACCATTATCCCAGTCCCAAAGAGCTCTACAGTGACTGGTTTGAATGACTATCGGCCAGTGGCCCTCACCCCAACAGTCGCTAAATGCTTTGAGAGACTGGTCGTGACCCACATCAAAACAACCATCAACATCAGCGAGGACCCTCATCAGTATGCATACTGCAAGAATCAATCAACAGAAGACGCCATCTCCTTTGTGGTCCACACTTCTCTTCCCCACCTGGAGCAGAAGAACTCCTATATCTGTCTGCTCTTTGTGGACTTCACGTCTGCCTTGAGTACCATGGTCCCCCAAACCCTGATGGACAAACTAATCACACCAGGACTAAGCCGCTCCATTTGCAACTGGGTCCTGGACTGCAGTCTGTGAGGATCCACACCTTCTCCTCCTCCACCATAACCCTCAGCACTGGCTCCCCCCAGGGATGTGTGTTGAGCCCCCTCCTTTTCACTCTGCTCACGTATAACTGTGCACCTACCCATCCAGGCTGTCACATTGTGAAGATTGCAGATGATACAGCGGTGGTGGGATGCATCGCAAACAATGATGAGTTCAACTACAGGCAGGAGGTGGAACACCTGGAGAGCTGGTGCAGGAAGAACAACATTCACATCAATGTGAAGAAGATGAAGGAGATGGTTGTGGATTTCAGACGGAACAAACACACCTACCCTCCCCCCACTACACACACACACACACACACACACACACACACACACACACACACCATCACCACTGAACATAGGAGGATCTGCGGTGGAAGTGGTCTCCAGGTACAAGTACTTGGGTGTACACATGAATGACAACCTCAGCTGGAGCAACAACACCACCAGCCTGACCAAGAAAGTTCATCAGACTCTACTTCCTCAGGCGGCTGAGACGAGCTGGTCTGGGAAGCTCAGTCCTCACCTCCTTCTACAGGTGTGCAGTGGAGAGCATCCTGTGCTCCAGCATCAACGTGCGGCATGGAGGCTGCACAGCTGCAGAAAGAAAAGCTTTGCAGAGAGTGGTGAAGGCTGCACAGAAGTCTGTCGAAGTCAGTCTCCCCACCATCACAGACATCTACACCTCTAGATGCAGGAAGAGGGCCACCTGCATCATGAAGGACCCCACTCACCCAGCACACACACTTTTTGCCCCACTCCCCTCAGGAAGGAGGTTGAGGAGCATTAAGTGTAGAACCACTAGACTGAGGAACAGCTTCTACCCTGAGACTGTTAGACTCATGAATCTCTAACCAGGATAATCACTTTGAAAAAAAAAATCACTGTAATGCCACTTTGACTGATGATATGTGCTGCTGATTATCCATGCTGCTGATTATTTTATGCTGCTGATTATTTCATGCTGCTGCTGCTGTATTCATTCATCTCATCTCACCCAGACTCGTTCGTTCTGCTGTTGTTTGGCATATTCTTTTTCTTAATTTATTTATTGTATTCTTAGTTTAGCATATTTCTTAGTTTACATCTTAGATCCTTATTACTCTTTCTTTTACAATTAATATTTTTCCTGTTGTTGGATGTAACTGGGACCCTGAGTATACAATTTCGTTCCACCTCCTGTACCACATGCGATGTGAATGACAATAAAGAAACTTGAATAGTACCCTGATACTTGATAATACCTTGATAGTTACCTGTGCCTGAGTAAATATAGACATGAAGTTGTCTCTTATTGATCAGTGACTCATACAAGTTTTGTTCATCAAGATTTAACTGCATATTTTAAGAGTTTTTCGTTTCTACTTGTGTTTTTATTATATTGACCTTTATTAAACCAGACTAGGTTCAGGCCGGGGTCTGAAGGCAGCCTAATATGCATGTTACTGAACTGTGGGAGGAAACAGGAGTACCCCGAGAAAAACCCCACATATATTAGGGCAATCACAGGCCAGCCAGGCAGAGTCCAAATGTGTCTTCTCATGAGGTATGGGTGCAAGTGACCAAGGAAAGCAGGACTGGACCTGGAGGCACAGCCACTGTTGCACTGCAGCAACCAGACTCAGCTCCTGTAGGCCTGTTCATGGAGCAGTCACCCAGAAAACACAGTGCGTCTTGGGAGACATATGGCGTAATGAACTGCTCATATTCAGTTTGACCAGAGGAAGAGGGCTGGAAACAGCTAATCTAGACCAACTCTCAGAAGAGAATAAAACAAGTCCAAACACATTAAATCCTTAACATTAATAGTAGAATTTATATCGTTTTAATAAAATATATATTTTAATGGGGAGTGTAAAGGTTTTAGCCTTGGTTTTTCCAGATTAAAATCGGATTATGAGATTTGATCAAAGTATTTTTTTTATCTGGAAAACCTCCAACAGTCATTTCAGACGCCCGCAGGATTCCGCGACCATTCGTGCGCATCACGAGCCGTCGGTCAGGCAGGGGACTGTTTGTGGTTCTGAGAGGACCTGACACGTCGTGCCGTGCCGTGCCGTGCCTCCATCCACAGGTCGTCGGTGCAGAAACCCCCCGCACTAAAATGAACCCATTGACCAACGCGTGCGTCATCATCCAGACATCGGAGCTCCGGAGCGCGTGAACGCGCAGTTCTTACAAGTCTTACCGTGCGTGTCTTCATTTAAATATTCTCATGAGCCTTTTTCTGTACTTTTGGACTGCATCGTGCCTGAAGGTCTAAATAAATAAAATAAATAAAAAAACGTCTCATTTCCAGTGAGGAGCAGGTTGTTGGACCGGGGGACAAACCGTCCATCATCTCTGACTCAGAATGTCCCTGTCTCCGTCCTCAGCCCTGACACGTCCCCGGCTCGGCCTCTTATCCTCCACACTTTTTAAAGACTGACATGTCTCTTACCTGTCCTCAGCCGGAGTGTCCCCTTCCTGCTTTTTAATCCACATCTGTGTCCTCCATCATTTGTGCGCTCCATTTGTCCTCCAAACGAAGGAGGGACGGGAAGTCAGGGAAGAAGAGAGACGGGGGGAGGAAGCGTGTCTAAGAAAATCCATGTCTTGGTTCCATCCACGCGATGAAAAGGTCCCCACTGGTTCTAAAATCCCGTAAAAGCAGAACCTCTTGAATGTTCTTGTTCCGTGCGCGGCTGAAGTTGCCTGGTTACCCTGCTGCTCCTTCAGGGAGGCTGGAGCAGCATCCAGCATCCAGCGGCCAATCACAGCGGCAGACCCCCCCTCCCACACACACATGAACTGTTCTCTGCTCCAGCGGTCCACTTTCAGCTCAGAATGAGGGGAGGGGGCGGAGGAAACTGGGCCCCCGCTGACGAAAAGGGAAAATTAAAATGCACAGAGAATAAAAAGAGAGAGGGGCTCCGTTGGAGGGATAATATGGGGGGTGGGGGGCATATGGGGGGATTAAACGTTTAGAAAAATAAAGGATTCTGAGGAGTGTGTGTGTGTGTTTGTGTGTGTGTGTGTGTGTGGGGGGGGGGGGGGGGCAGTTCTCACAGACAGAAGTGAATCATTTTCCAGCTAAACTTCAGTGAAGCACTTCTTCAATCTGCCGTTTGATTTCTGACCCCTCCCCATCCATCAGGGTAATTGATCATCTCTCCTTTAAGCAGTCATCCATCAGGCAGGAGCCCCCACCACCAGCCCCCCTCCCTCACCCCTGCCCCTCTGCATTTACCTCAACTGTATCGATTTCAACTCCACCCCTCCCTGAAACGATGAAAGGTGTAAGGAGCGTGCCAGGTTCAATGAATCCACACTGCATGTGGGGAGGGGGTACTGAGCCCCAGCCTTGATGGTCTGCTCACTCAAGGAGAGCTTGGGGGGGGGGGGGGGGGGGGGTGTCCTTCATCCAGGTCCAGACCACATTTCAGCAGGTCTGGATGGTGTTGATACTGGCTGCAGGCAGGCCCCCACTGGGTGTTGTGCAGGGCTGCTGGAGCATTATGGGAGAACAGGTGGGGGTCCCAACAGCTAGAGGATAAGCTCCTGAAAAGAGACAACAGAGCACAGGATGAGGGTGATGGTGGTGGTGGTGGTGGTGTGTGTGTGTGTGTGTGTGTGGGGGGGGGGGTGACCCACATGTTGGGAGCGCACATGCACAATGGAGAACTTACCAGAAGCCTCATGTATGAGACCACAGCTTTCAGACTGAACATTGGTGCACGGACCAGTTCAAGAATCTGGTTTGTCAAACTGCACGTTTCTGCTCACCTTTCCTTCATGCATCCTGATGACGCCACGCCTCCATTTTAACATGAAAACAGATGCAGAGATGTCCTTCAAGGTGGAGTTCTCACACAGAGACACTCAGGAGCTTGATGCAGCTTCTTTATTAACAAGTCCAGAAACATGGGTGCACGGTGGCTCAGTTGGTAGAGCTGCCGCCGCTCAGCGAGCAGGTCGCCAGATCAAATCCCAGCCCGAGGCCTTTCTGGGTGGACTTTGCATGTTCTCTCCGTGCATGTGTGGGTTTTCTCCAGGTACTCCAGTTTACTCCCACAGACCAAAAACATGCATGTTAGTCTGATTGGTAACTCTAAATTATCTCTAGGTGAGTGAGAGAGTGAATGGTTGTTTGTCTCGTTTCCCTGTAATGGCCTGGAGACCTGTCCAGGCTGTCCCCTGCCTCTTGCACAGTGATTGCTGGATTAGGGTACCAGTGACCCCCACAACCCGAAATGGAAGAAACGGGTAAATTTAATGGATGAATGGATGTAAGTCAAGAAACAAGACTGGAGCATGAACAGAGTGTTTCAGTCGAGGTGTGAGGGAGTTTATTTATCAGGTCATCATCGGGACCAGTCCATACAGCTGTCAGGGCACGACTCAGCACGACTAAGAAATACCTGATCAGTGTTTGGTCAACACGATCCATGAATATGCGCAGCCTCTCAGGTCTTCTGTTGGTGATGTCCTCCTGCAGCCCCACACTGTCTCTGATCCACAATTAACACAACTTTAGCTGCTTTTAATGGACATGTTTGACTGTCTGCACCTTGTGGCCCTGAGGAGTCATCACAGGTGAGGTGTTCTGGATTCATTTGAGGATCTAACACTGTTTTCTTCTCAGTGAAGATGAGGCTCCGCTTAGATAATTCGCACACACTTTATGCTGCTCACCTGTCTGTTCTCCTCACCTGTCTGTTGTCCTCACCTGCCTGTTCTCCTCACCTGTCTGTTCTCCTCACATGTCTGTTGTCCTCACCTGTCTGCTCTCCGCACCTGTCTGCTCTCATCACCTGTCTG